GGCATTGACGTAAGAGCTGGCTGGATATAATGGGGAGTAATGTGGTGAGGTATATGTGGGGGCGTGATTGGAGTGAGGGGGTGTACCAGCTGCTTCTTCTGCTTCTGCCACCTACTTACAAAATCTTATTACCACAATAGTACTGGCCTTGTGTTGGCCTACACATCCCCAGCATTCTCCGTAATTACTGCTAGTTTACTCCAGGCTGTATTGACTTCTGGTAAAACTATAAATCTTTGTTTTTACATCTGATTGCCTCAAGTCTATTTGTTATTGAATGATAGCTTTTTAACAATGGTTTATATGTGTGCAGTATAAATCTGTTTTGTAAGTATATCCATGGATAACTCTCCCCCTCCCTCCCCCTTTCCATCCATTAGATCGTTCCAGTGACCATTGTTCTGAAAGTACACTGGTCCACTTTGTGACTTATGACAAAAAAGGTGTAATTTTCTTATTAACCAAACCAAAAATTATTAATTAATTTGTCTACATGTAGCTACCATAATTAAGATTATTTCTGATCTAGACTGGTCATTTTGGTTTGTCAGTGTTTCCTGTTGGGAGAGTTTGTGTAGATTGGCTTGGTGTGATGGCAGGAGGATTGTTGTGAATGTGTACACGGGTTCCTGAGTCTGTAGTGTAAGGCATGTACCTTTCATTTAATCACTCAAGACATTTGGACCATATACCAACCAGGTTACATAACACAAAGAGAGTGAGGTGACATTGTTTTGTCCCTGCCAATTATATATATAGACTGGTCACACAAAGTAAATAGTCACTAGCAGAAGGCAACATCGTAATGATAGTGGGTTTAACTATGGCAGATACTGTGGCTGCCAAGCCTGACTACTATAAACATCTCTGTGTAATAGCCGCACGCCTCCATTGACGTCATATCACCACAGCGAGCAGCAGAAATGCCTGGTCTGTACTATACAACGTAGAATAGTGGAGGAAAAGGGATAAAAAATGTGTTACATCACCACACCATTCAATTTACTGGGAGAAGGGGACAAATTGTTTTAGTCCTGGTGTAGTGTATGTGTCCTATCTATAGCTGTGGTCTGGTTCTGTCCCTGTGTTGTAGTGTATGTGTCCTATCTATAGCTATGGTCTGGTTCTGTCCCAGTGTTGTAATGTATGTGTCCTATCTATAGCTGTGGTCTGGTTCTGTCCCAGTGTTGTAGTGAATGATGTCCTATCTATAGCTGTGGTCTGGTTCTGTACCAGTGTTGTAGTGTAGGATGTCCAATCTATAGCTGTGGTCTGGTTCTGTCCCTGTGTTGTAGTGTATGATGTCCTAGTTATAGCTGTGGTCTGGTTCTGTCCCAGTGTTGCAGTGAATGATGTCCTATCTATAGCTGTGGTCTGGTTCTGTCCCTGTGTTGTAGTGTATGATGTCCTATATATAGCTGTGGTCTGGTTCTGTCCCTGTGTTGTAGTGTATGTGTCCTATCTATAGCTGTGGTCTGGTTCTGTCCAAATGTTGTAGTGTATGATGTCCTATCTATAGCTGTGGTCTGGTTCTGTCCCTGTGTTGTAGTGTATGATGTCCTATCTATAGCTGTGGCCTGGTTCTGTCCCAGTGTTGCAGTGAATGATGTCCTATCTATAGCTGTGGTCTGGTTCTGTCCCAGTGTTGCAGTGAATGATGTCCTATCTATAGCTGTGCTCTGGTTCTGTCCCTATGTTGTAGTGTATGATGTCCTTTCTATAGCTGTGGTCTGATTCTGTCCCTGTGTTGTAATGTATGTGTCCTATCTATAGCTGTGCTCTGGTTCTGTCCCAGTGTTGTAGTGTATGATGTCCAATCAATAGCTGTGGTCTGGTTCTGTCCCAGTGTTGTAGTGTATGATGTCCTATCTATAGCTGTGGTCTGGATCTGTCCATATGTTGTAGTGTATGATGTCCTTTCTATAGCTGTGGTCTGATTCTGTCCCTGTGTTGTAGTGTATGTGTCCTATCTATAGCTGTGCTCTGGTTCTGTCCCAGTGTTGTAGTGTAGGATTTCCTATCTAAAGCTTTGCTTTGGTTCTTTCCCTGTGTTGTAGTGTATGTGTCCTATCTATAGCTGTGGTCTGGTTCTGTCCCTGTGTTGTAGTGTATGATGTCCCTATCTACAGCTTTGGTCTGGTTCTGTCCCTGTATTGTAGTGAATGTGTCCTATCTATAGCTGTGGTGTGATTCTGTCCCAGGTTAGTTAGTTTTGAGTTTCCAAATCCTGCAAAATCATGTTTTACCTTGTCTTGAAAAATAGTGATGTAACAAGAAGTATTGTTTATGGTTTATCAAAATAGGATTATTTCGCAGACATTTTTGAAGATGTGTCGCTAAATAAAGGTTACAGTGACCTTTTGTTATTGTTCCACTCTTCATCAAATGAAATTATTTACAAGTCATAGTTTCTTTCCATTTTAAGCTTCATAATGTTTGTGTGCAGTTAAAATATTTGAGAATTGTATGTCATGCATAAATTAGTCTTTGTTAATTATATTTTCAATGAAATATTGAGGGAAACTGGTTTTAGTACATAAATTCCAAGATAGTCACAAAATCCACCTAATAACAGGGTTACCATGGCATTCACAAAGCTTCACCTAGCAACAGGGGTTTCCATGGCAGTTTCAAAGCTTCACCTAGCAACAGGGGTTTCCATGGCAGTCACAAAGCTTCACCTAACAACAGGGGTTTCAATGGCAGTCATACAGCTTCACCTAACAACAGGGGTCTTGTTATGTATAGAGTGAATACCTAACATCTGGGTCCGTTATATATCAGGTGAACACCTGACATCAGGGGTTGTTATGTATTGGGTGAACACCTGACATCAGGGGTTGTTATGTATTGGGTGAACACCTGACATCAGGGGTTGTTATGTATTGGGTGAACACCTGACATCAGGGGTTGTTATGTACTGGGTGAACACCTGACATCAGGGGTTGTTATGTACTGGGTGAACACCTGACATCAGGGGTTGTAATGTATTGGGTGAACACCTGACATCAGGGGTTGTTATGTACTGGGTGAACACCTGACATCAGGGGTTGTTATGTATTGGGTGAACACCTGACATCAGGGGTTGTTATGTATTGGGTGAACACCTGACATCAGGGGTTGTTATGTACTGGGTGAACACCTGACATCAGGGGTTGTTATGTACTGGGTGAACACCTGACATCAGGGGTTGTTATGTATTGGGTGAACACCTGACATCAGGGGTTGTTATGTATTGGGTGAACACCTGACATCAGGGGTTGTTATGTATTGGGTGAACACCTGACATCAGGGGTTGTTATGTATTGGGTGAACAGCTGACATCAGGGGTTGTTATATATTGGGTGAACACCTGACATCAGGGGTTGTTATCTATTGAGTGAACACCAGACATCAAGGGTTGTTATGTATTGGGTGAAAACCTGACATCAGGGGTTGTTATGTACTTAGTGAACACCTGACATCAGGGATTGTTATGTATAGGGTGAACACCTGACATCAGGGGTTGTTATGTATTGGGTGAACACCTGACATCAGGGGTTGTTATGTATAGGGTGAACACCTGAAATCAGGGGTTGTTATATATTGGGTGAACACCTGACATCAGGTATTGTTATGTATAGGGTGAACACCTGAAATCAGGGGTTGTTATGTATTGGGTGAACACCTGACATCAGGGGTTGTTATGTACTTAGTGAACACCTGACATCAGGGGTTGTTATGTATTGGGTGAACACCTGACATCAGGGGTTGTTATGTATAGGGTGAACACCTGATATCAGGGGTTGTTATGTACTGGGTGAACACCTGACATCAGGAGTTGTTATGTATTGGGTGAACACCTGACATCAGGGGTTGTTATGTATTGGGTGAACACCTGACATCAGGGGTTGTTATGTATTGGGTGAACAGCTGACATCAGGGGTTGTTATGTATTGGGTGAACACCTGACATCAGGGGTTGTTATATATTGGGTGAACACCTGACATCAGGGGTTGTTATATATTGGGTGAACACCTGACATCAGGGGTTGTTATCTATTGAGTGAACACCAGACATCAAGGGTTGTTATGTATTGGGTGAAAACCTGACATCAGGGGTTGTTATGTACTGGGTGAACACCTGACATCAGGGATTGTTATGTATAGGGTGAACACCTGACATCAGGGGTTGTTATGTATTGGATGAACACCTGACATCAGGGGTTGTTATGTATAGGGTGAACACCTGAAATCAGGGGTTGTTATATATTGGGTGAACACCTGACATCAGGTATTGTTATGTATAGGGTGAACACCTGACATCAGGGGTTGTTATGTATTGGGTGAACACCTGACATCAGGGGTTGTTATGTTTTGGGTGAACACCTGACATCAGGGGTTGTTATGTATTGGGTGAACACCTGACATCAGGGGTTGTTATGTATAGGGTAAACACCTGACATCAGGGGTTGTAATGTATTGGGTGAACACCTGACATCAGGGGTTGTTATGTATTGGGTGAACATCTGACATCAGGGGTTGTTATGTATTGGGTGAACATCTGACATCAGGGGTTGTTATGTATTGGGTGAACACCTGACATCAGAGGTTGTTATGTATAGGGTGAACACCTGACATCAGGGGTTGTTATGTATTTAGTGAAGCTTGTTTCCATGTGATCCTCATGGTGGTTCACCAAACAGCTTGTTCTTATATAGCTTGTAGCAAAGATATCAAGCCATACAACTAGAACTTGTTTACCAATTTTCTTTTCACCAACAAACATGAAAAGGGATTTTAATATACACCTTTAGATTAATTCTTCGACCTGAAATAGGTTAACATCTTCCCTGTAACTGTTATCTTTTGTATATCACAGTTACTAAACTACCAATAGATAAGAAGCTGTGATATTTCTGTACCTTTTTGTTTCTATTGGAAAAACTTTGAAATGTTATATCAAAAGGAGCACATTGATGATTTAAATTTTGTGTATATAAAGTAGTCTTTCTATTACAGCCCACCTCCATGACCATGGCCACTGAATATAGATCTGACAGCAGAGGCACGAAAACTCTACGCAAGCAGCCGGAGATAGAGGAGGCTGATGAGGAAGAAAACAGTCCAGGATCTGACCAATCAGATGCCACTATTGTAGCAGGTATACGATTATATTTTTTCTTCCTTATGAAATAAGAATAAGTGGTCACTTTCCGATCTCTTTAATTCTTTAAGTTTTGAATGACCAGCACAGATCCTCTGAAAATTTCATGTACTTATATATGTCAGTATTTAGATTTATTATATCTTGTTAATAGCATGGTCTGTTCCTTGATCCAGGCTTCATTTTTGAGTCCCCATCCCATCAAAGATTCATCTTCAATCCATTGCCCTTCATTTTAGTGTTCTAAATTCCATCACAGATTCCAGTTTAATTGCTTGTTCCATGTTCTTATATAAGCATTCCATTTTCAGAAAAAGTAGATGTCTGTCAGTCCTACGGAGATACTTCTCCCACCACAGACTTAACCACCAAGCCTGAAGTTCTGTGTGATGAAACCAACAATCACACATCACATGTAAGTATTATACAATCCCCACTTCTCATGATTTCTTTCCCACTGATTCCTCTAAAGCCTCACACAGTGCTTCTCACATTGAAAGAACTAAAACCTCACACAGTGCTTCTCACATTGAAAGAACTAAAACCTCACACAGTGCTTCTCACATTGAAAGAACTAAAACCTCACACAGTGCTTCTCACATTGAAAGAACTAAAACCTCACACAGTGCTTCTCACATTGAAAGAACTAAAACCTCACACAGTGCTTCTCACATTGAAAGAACTAAAACCTCACACAGTGCTTCTCACATTGAAAGAACTAAAACCTCACACAGTGCTTCTCACATTGAAAGAACTAAAACCTCACACAGTGCTTCTCACATTGAAAGAACTAAAACCTCACACAGTGCTTCTCACATTGAAAGAACTAAAACCTCACACAGTGTTTCTCACATTGAAAGAACGAAAACCTCACACAGTGCTTCTCACATTGAAAGAACTAAAACCTCACACAGTGCTTCTCACATTGAAAGTTCTTTCTTGGTATTGCTTTAAAAGTCAGAAATCAGGGTCACTATTACTACTAATATAAAATTGATAACTTTATAACATATAATGTTCTCTTGGGCCAGTTAAGCACAAAGACATTTTCTTTCCTTGCATGCAAAACCCTGTACCCTGTATATGTACCCTTGTAAGTTACAAATCTGTGTTCCCTGTAACCTGGTGGTTGTGTAATAGTCTTCACTGTATCCTTGTAAGTTACAAATCTGTGCTCCCTATAACCTGGTTGTTGTGTAATAGTTTCACATTATCCTTGTAAGTTACAAATCTGTGCTCCCTATAACCTGGTTGTTGTGTAATAGTCTTCACTGTATCCTTGTAAGTTACAAATCTGTGCACCCTGTAACCTGGTTGTTGTGTAATAGTTTCACTGTATCCTTGTAAGTTACAAATCTGTGCACCCTGTAACCTTGTTGTTAAAAAAATTGTTCTCACTGTTTCCTGTATGTTACAAATCGCTGTATCCTAGTTGTTATATAATAGTTCTCCTGGTGTGTAAAAATCTGTGCTCCCTGTAACTTGGCACCATCTGATCTATATTGCCTCAAAAGCTTTCAAATATTTAGTAGGTTTCACACTGTGAAGAATTATAGTCCCCTTGTGTGTGGTTACATTCAATAATTCAACCAATTAGCTTTGTCAAGGGCGTCTTGCCTGGCAAACTGGTAAAAAATCATTAAATACATACAGAGTCTGGAGTTTGATCAACCTACACTTGTCAGTCCATCCAATTGTATAGTTAGATACCCTTTGTTTAAAATAATCAATTCTTCAAATTTCATATGATTAATCAAATCCAAATCTCTTACAAGTGTTCTTTCTAATAATCAGAAGTTGTACAAGATGTCTCATGAACCACAGGACAGATTTAGTTCATATTGACATTATAGCATCATACCATCAAGGTCTACACCCGAATAGGTTTTGATGGTCATTGGTGAAGATTAAAGGTCAAAGTTCACTCTTAACTAAGTTATGAAATAAAAAGCTAGTATACAGGATATACATGAACTCCTTTGATAAACAAACCCTTCAATGAACTTAGATCAGAGAAAAGACGAGGGATGGGGGTATATCTATGTGAGCCCATGTTCATTTTGTTTTCATGAAATGCTTTAGCTCCCTACTTGATTAAGTGGTTATTTCAGTATCAATTCATTGTGTTATATAAGAGGTCAAAATATATGTACATTGGTGTATGAAGCTAACATCTGGAAACGACCCCTGAGATAGTGCTGATGTAGTTTGTGATCCTATGCCGTGTAACACCCACACTTCTATACAGGGGCAAACAAGTAAATGTTTTAACAGATCTCAAAATATATTTTGAATGTGGGGAAAAATTTTGATTTTTATTGAAACATCCAAAAGTTGTATGAAATATACTTATATTGCAGTTACTATCAATTGAAATGCATGATCTTTAAAACTTACGATGAATTTCAAAATTATTCAGGGTGAATATATGAAGTTCTGAAAGCAAATGTCCAACACATTTACACTAATTCCATAACACAGTTTGGCTTCCTGCCAGTTACAACATGCCTGCTGTTTGCTGCCATTTTAAATGTATGTCCATATGCACATAGAGGTGCTTGGATGCTAGTTCAATTGAATTATCAGGTTGTTGTATCTTGGCTAATACATGTTAAAGTGCACCTTTATTTCTGGTATATTGTATGAGAAGTGTAAGTACAGATACACATCTTAAAATAGGTCCATGAGCTGCTTATGAAAATTATAGCTCAACATAAGGTATGAAGAATTCAGTTGGTCTTGATCATGATATTACAAAGCTGTTTGATTTATCTAAATGCCATATTGTAAAGTTTATCCCTGGAATTAAATCTTACACTGGTATCCTGGAACACCGCTCTGTTTATGAGGACAAGGTGAGTACCATTATATATGTGAAGCATGTGTTCACTGTATGTCTGCTAGGATTCAAACATGTAATTGCAAGGTCAATGCCCCCAAGGTTGATACTTTCTAGACGAGTCATAAACAAGCAACAATCGTGACAGAAGCATTGGTGTTATCATTGATATTTCTATTATCATCCTTACAGTATTTAATAGTTCATTGTCATTACAGGTTCACCCTAAAATCAAGCAGCTTACTAGGAGTCAGGCATTTGAAGACCACTCTCCCCCACCAGAACAACAATGTTCCCACAGCAGTCCGGACCTGCCGGGAACCAATGGCGTGTACTTAAAAGCACAGGTGAGTCTTTCTGACACATGATTCAGCATCAACAAACCTCCGACTGTTATGTAGTAGAGCATTGGTGCACAAATGTCAGAAACATGGATCAAGTACTATTAAGACAATTCAAATAAAAGAATACCTTAATAAGTAAGAGTTGATGAACAGCCAAGTTCCTTCTGTGCTTTGCTCTTGATTTATTTATTCCTAGTTTCAGTATATCCGCCCCACAAGGTATATGGAATGTTGAGTAAATTCTCTGAATTTCACCTAATGTGTACAGCTTTGCTATCATGCACAAATGTGCCTCATTAATATGTTAAGTGTATTTTGATAAAGCAAGGGTAACTCTGACTCTAAATGTTAAATTTTCAAAATCTGAATTTTCAAAAAAAAAAAACTGGTTATGGTTTAACATGACACAATTGTCGATTGATACTTTAAACCCTCAGCCTTACTTATTTGGTACAATAATTGACCATTGATACAGGACAGCCTAATCCACATGTGTTATTGTTATTTTTTTTATAGTACTGGCTTTTTGGCCTTTTTATTCTCTGCTTTTCAAAGAAAAAAGAGGGATATGAAATTGAGGATGGGCATATGTCCCACTTGTTTCCATTCAACTACTGGTGGTTATTTATAGATGTTCATGCATAATTCATTAGGTGCTTCATTTTTTATTGGCCCATTGGTTTCCAAACAATAACTTCACTAAATGTACATGGATTTTGATCAAATTTGGTCTGCAAGTATATCTATCGACTCGTTTCATTGACTTTTATACATGATCAATTAGGTACTTGACTTCTGATTGCAAACTTGTTTCTTTGTTTTAACTTTGCTAAATACCAATGAATTTCAAGGGAATTTGGTTAATGATGCATTTAAATATCCTTTAGCCAGATTTAACTGCCATACAAATTAATTCTTGAAAGAAGGGATATAAATTCTGCCAACTTGCTTGTTGAACTTAACTTGACTAGTCACACTTGTTGACTCGGACCTTTCAGATAATGCATGTTTTATTTCTGTCCAGTTCCACTGTGCTTGACTTCTCATCAGGTTTAGTTCCTGTCAGCTTCCACTGTCCTGAATTTCTCAGTTAGTGGTTCCACTCTGCTAAGTTTGTCAAATTCCTTTTTCTGAATTTTTCAAAAAAAATTTTCATGTCAGTTTCCACTCTGCTGAATCAGTCAACAGACTTAATTCATGTTGGGCTACACTTCCCTGAATTTGTCTGTAGATGTATAAGTCAGTTGCCTCTCTCCTGAATTTGTCAACATATTTTGTTCCTGTTAGGTTCCACTTCACTGAATTTGTCAATATATTTTGTTCCTGTTAGGTTCCACTTCACTGAGTTTGTCAATATATTTTGTTCCTGTTAGGTTCCACTTCACTGAATTTGTCAATATATTTAGTTCCTGGTAGGTTCCACTTCACTGAATTTGTCCACAGACTTTGTTCCAGTCAGGTTCATGAGTATTTTTTAGGGCAATTCTAAAAATAAAATGATCTTGGCTTGAAATAAACTGATTTAAACAAAAGACTATACATGCTGTTTGAGTACGTTTCAAATTAAACATAAAGCAGCCTGGTAAACATATCATTTTGTTTGAAGACATCGAAGGGGACGTTAGAGAAGACTGGATCCCAGAGTTCTGAGGCGGGTACCTCATCCAGCTGGTCACGAGGTAAGCCTTCCTCTTGCTTGTTTGGAAAATCAATTAATGGATACAGTGAACTTTTTTTCTCCTCAAACTGGTTGGTATGAATATATATATATTGAACATTGTTTGACTGTAGATTGACACTTACTGTCTGTCAGTCAGTTTATCCAGTTATTCATATACTAAACTTGATATGTGAAAGAGGAAATCAAAATAGGTTGGAAGAAATATCAAGATTTGGATGGGGAGGTGCTCCAGCTTTAGCAGCCACACAATCAGTAATCAAAGAATCGAATGTTACATAATTATAGACTCCCTCCATTTATCTCCAGGTACAGCAGGCCTTGTGGTGAAGAATGGAGGTTGGTGTAAAATGAGTCTTTAACTGATACTGATCTGTTGACAATTTGTTTTGTGAATACTAAAGCTGATGTTTTAGTTTTCATTGTTGTTAATGGTTGATAAATGACTTGACTTTCAGATTCCAGTCTAGACAAAGGAACATATAAAGATTCCACTGGCATTAACCTTGAAGACTTCATTAGGAAGACTATGAACAAAACCCCAAAAGACAGAAACATGCTCCTCAAATTGGAGACAGACCTAACCAATTTCATTAATGAACCAAAGTAAGTATTAATCTTTGTACATAGTAGAACTATCTGCCATTGCAAAGTTTGTATGTTGGCATTGAGTGGGTATTGGTACTGTTTTATACTGTAAGTAACCTTATTATAAGTATGAGCACCATTCATTTCATGGTGTTGATATGTTCCTGGCATGAAGCCTGATAAAGTTTGTGAAAAGAAAGAACTTGGTCACATAAGTAAAAATTCTTAAAGCACTTCAAAGGATTTTTGATTTAACAAAATGCCTAGAATCATTGCTGGTAGTCTTGGGGATGAAGCCTGACTAAGTTTGTTTGGAAAAAATGACCTTGACCTGTATGAGAGTTCTCTGGGGTTAGATTTGTTAAAACCTCTGATGGACATCTTCTGATTAACCAAAAGGCCTGAAATCATGATATTTGGCTGGAAGGTTGCAGGGATGAAGCTCAGTAGAGTTTGCAAAAAGAAATGACCTTGACTTGTATGAAAGGTCACTGATCAAATTTGTTTTAACAATCAAAAAAACATTCTTCTGATCAATCACTTGTCCTTAATTTATGATATTTATCTGGTAGGTTCCAGGATAAAACTCTGCAAAATATGTGAATAGATATTTGATTAATCATATTCATGCAAAATGTTTAGCAGCTTACAGTTGGTTTGAATGTGACCTGTATCAAGTTTCATGTGAAGGGTCCCTTGGTCCGTTGTTAAGGCTGTTGATTTTGAAAGTGATTTTTGGAAAAAATTGGCTGACAGGCAGCTGTTTTAGATTTTCACCTGGAAACTGGTATTACTATTTAATTGTCAGAATATTTGAATGGACAATATCCAAATTTTACATGTAAGCTCACTTATGTCATTTAGAGATGTTTTATCTTTGAATGTTATAATCTATTTCATGTTTTCTTTAGGTTTTGAGAAGCTGTATTTAGTGTACTTGATCATATAAAAATTGAATGTTAACCAAAACTTTAACAACATTGCAGGCACCATTACCTCAAATTTCCACAGATGTCCTCATATGATCGTATGTTAGTTCATCGTATTGCTGCCTTTTTTGGCCTTGACCACAATGTAGACCAGACTGGCAAATGTGTCATTGTGAACAAAACTTCCAACACGCGAGTGTAAGTATCTGTCATCTTCGATTAAATTGAGGGTAATTAGCAGGCTGTTTTGTGTTGTTTCAATTGACTTTCATAGTACATTTTTCCATCTAATGTCAGTATGGAAAATAATCAGCCCAACACTTGTTTTAACAATAATCTTGTTACCATCTCAACTACTGTTGATTAATTGCCATCTAGTAACAGATGAAGGTAATGATGTGGAAAAGTCACACATGGATTTTCTTATCGGTCATGGTTAATATGGTTGTAAGTGTTTGTCCAGTCAAGAAAGATTTGATAATGATAAAATCATGATTCAGTGAAGAATATAATTTATTTATACAACCCAAAATATGTGTTATACTGCAAATTGAATATCAACTGGATTTCTATACAAAAAGTGGGCATAGTATTATCCCTGGTGGGTAAAGCCCTTCATGTTTGAAATATCTATTGTCCTAATTGATAAAGTATCAGATGGGTAAAATATCAAATGCATAATTGGTTAAACACCTGATGGGTAAAGTACCCAGTGCCCTGATGGGTAAAGTACCTAATGCCCTGATGGGTAAAGTACCTAATGCCCTGATGGATAAACCTAATGCCCTGATGGGTAAAGTACTTAATACCCTGCTGGGTAAAGTATCTAATGCCCTGTTGGGTAAAGTACCTAATACCCTGCTGGGTAAAGTACCTAATGCCCTGATGGGTAAAGTACCTAATGCCCTGACGGGTAAAGTATCTAATGCCATGACGGGTAAAGTACCTAATGCCCTGATGGGTAAAGTACCTAATGCCCTGATGGGTAAAGTACCTAATACCCTGATGGGTAAAGTATCTAATGCCCTGATGGGTAAAGTACCTAATGCCATGATGGGTAAGTACCTAATGCCCTGCTGGGTAAAGTACCTCATTCACTGATTTTTCCCCTGCTTTTGCTGAATGTAGATTTTAGCTCACCTGGCCTGAAGGGCCTAGTGAGCATATTCTATGGCGCAATGTCCAGCGTCTGGCAGCAACTTTTTTATTTAAACAATAACCAATAGACCAAATGTTTGATATTTGGCTGGTTTGGACTTAGGATGAAGCCCTATAAAGCTTACGAAAATTAAATGACCTTTGCTTATATTCAAGGTCAAAGGAGTCAGATTTTCTTAAAGGGTTTATATTACTTTTTCTCATAAAGTAAAAGGCCTAGAGGCATGGTATTTGGCTGGTATGTTCTGAGGAAGAAACCCAACATAGTTTGCAAAAAGAAATAACCTTGAAGTATATTTAAAGTTGCAGAGGTCAAATTTGTTAAAATCTTTAAATAATTTCTTCCAATGGACTAAAATGCTTAGAAGCATGATATTTGCCTGATATATATACCAGGTTAGTGCTGCAGGCCCATTGGGCCTCTTGTTTGTCTGTGCCATTGAGCTCTTAGAGTATCCATCTGCAGATAAAGAAAATTGTATGTCTGTACTGTCTTATGTAGAGTAATTGTAAATCATGACTTGTGGAAACAGATTTAAAACCATTTTTGAAAGTTATTGAGTTTAGGTACTGACATCCCATATATATAATGTATCACTGAAAACTTACACATTTCAAGGGTTATTGTATGTAAACATCAGTTTATTACTTATTCTGATCTACGGTATGATAATCTTACAAATTTTCACTACTGTTGTTAGCAGAAGAATAATAAAAATCTGCCCCCTCTATTTCTAATGCCTTTTTCCTGTTTAGATTAGCAAACCATAAAAAATATGTGAAGATTGAGGCACCTTGGGCCTCTTATATTATAAAGAATCATAGCCAGAGAAAGTAATGTGCAAATTGAAAGTGATGGTATAGTATTTTATGTGGGAGGGAAGGCAGTTAGTGAAAAGCATTAGGTAGTAATCTTGGCCAACACTGTTGTGCCTTGAAAGTGTTCTTTATAAATCTGTATTTATAGACTGCAGAGGGTTAACATAGTTTGTTCCTAATTGTGTGGGAGGGTGTATAAATAACCCAGTCTTATGTCACTAGGCTGTCAGAGTGAAAACACCTGTAATGTAGCCATTAAAAGTAACTAACCAAGAGTATGGAGTAAATAGTAAGGCACACTGTAGGGGAGGGTTGTGTACAAAAAAGTGTTAACTGTGAGAATCACGGTAGGGGAGGGTTGTGTACCAAAAGGGTTATCTGTTAGAATCACGGTAGGGGAGGGTTGTGTACCAAAGGGTTGTGTACCAAAAAGTGTTAATTGTGAGAATCACTGTAGGGGAGGGTTGTGTACCAAAAGGGTTATCTGTGAGAATCACTGTAGGGGAGGGTTGTATACCAAAAAGTGTTAACTGTGAGAATCACTGTAGGGGAGGGTTGTGTACCAAAAAGTGTTAACTGTGAGAATCACTGTAGGGGAGGGTTGTGTACCAAAAAGTGTTAACTGTGAGAATCACTGTAGGGGAGGGTTGTGTACCCAAACGTTTAACTGTGATAATCACTGTAGGTGAGGGTTGTGTACAAAAACGGTTATCTGTGAGAATCACTGTAGGGGAGGGTTGTGTACCAAAAAGTGTTAACTGTGAGAATCACTGTAGGGGAGGGTTGTGTACCAAAAGGGTTATCTGTGAGAATTACGGTAGGGGAGGGTTGTGTACCAAAAAGTGTTAACTGTGAGAATCACAGTAGGGGAGGGTTGTGTATCAAAAAGTGTTAACTGTGAGAATCACGGTAGGGGATGGTTGTGTACCAAATAGGTTATCTGTGAAAATCACTGTAGGGGAGGGTGGTCTACCAAATGGGTTATCTGTGAGAATCACTGTAGGGGAGGGTGGTCTACCAAAAAGTGTTAACTTTGAGAATCACTGTAGGGGAGGGTTGTGTACCAAAAAGTTTAACTGTGAGAATCACTGTAGGGCAGGGTTGTGTACCAAAAAGTTTAACTGAGAATCACTGTAGGGGGAGGGTTGTGTACCAAAAAGTTCAACTGTGAGAATCACGGTAGGGGATGGTTGTGTACCAAATAGGTTATCTGTGAGAATCGCTGTAGGGGAGGGTTGTGTACCAAAAAGTTTAACTGTGAGAATCACTGTAAGGCAGGGTTGTGTACCAAAAAGTTTAACTGAGAATCACTGTAGGGGAAGGGTTGTGTACCAAAAAGTTTAACTGTGAGAATCACGGTAGGGGAGGATGTGTACCAGGAGTGTCAATTGTGAGAATCACTGTAGAGGAGGGTTGTGTACCAAAAAGGGTTATCTGTGAGAATCACTGTAGGGGAGGGTTGTGTACCAAAAAGTTTAACTGTGAGAATCACTGTAGGGGAGGGTTGTGTACCAAAATGTTTAACTGTGAGAATCACTGTAGTGGAGGGTTGTGTACCAAAAGGGTTATCTGTGAGAATCACTGTAGGGGAGGGTGGTGTACCAAAAGGGTTATCTGTGGGAATCACTGTAGGGGAGGGTTGTGTACAAAAACGGTTATCTGTGAGAATCACTGTAGGGGAGGGTGGTGTACCAAAAGGGTTATCTGTGAGAATCACTGTAGGGGGAGGGTTGTGTACCAAAAAGTTTAACTGTGAGAATCACTGTAGGGGAGGGTTGTGTACAAAAACGGTTATCTGTGAGAATCACTGTAGTGGAGGGTTGTGTACCAAAAGGGTTATCTGTGAGAATCACTGTAGGGGAGGGTGGTGTACCAAAATGGTTATCTGTGAGAATCACTGTAGGGGGGAGGGTTGTGTACCAAAGGGGTTATCTGTGAGAATCACTGTAGGGGAGGGTGGTGTACCAAAGGGGTTATCTGTGAGAATCACTGTAGGGGAGGGTGGTGTACCAAAAGGGTTATCTGTGAGAATCACTGTAGTGGAGGGTTGTGTACCATAAGGGTTATCTGTTGGAATCACTGTAGGGCTGAGTTGTGTATCGGAAGGATAAATTGTGAGAATCACTGTTTAGGAGGTACGAATGTCTGGAGAATAAACTGTTGAGCTTCAATCTAGGAGAAATTTGTATACCAGAAGGGTAAACTTTTATGATCACTGTAGGAAAGAGGGGTGTAACAGAAAGGTTAAGTGTGAGAACAACTGTAGAGGAAGGCTATGTATTATGAAGATACTTTTGTGAGACTAATGTCTGTTAATAGATAGATATTACTTATGGTTATGTGATTTCTAGTAAAGAAGGATGGGTGTTTCTGATTCATTGTAATTTTTTATATTTGCAGACCTGAGTTTAACTTTAAAGAACACATAGATGCTCGTGATTCCCAGAAAAAAATAACAGGTATCATGAGGAGGATGGGTGTCGGCAGCCTAGATGAAAAAGAGGTAATGTCTGTTGATCCTCTAGAGCTTGGTTATGATATGTTTTCTTCATTGTATTGTAATATTCGGTTATTAATTGCTGATAAAAATCATGGAAAGGTTTCTGGAATTCCCTATTAAAATTCAGTCCACTTCCTTTCCAGTTTAAATCAGATGTGTTCATAAAATTAATATGAATGGCTTGATTGTAGTTCCCTAATGGCTTCAAGGTACTGGAGGGCATGTTTTTGAAAGTCTTGAAATATCTGTGGAGGAAGGGTTTTATCATTTTCTTACCTACAACCAGGTCATATGACTTTGTGATTACATGTAAAAACGTAACAATGGAAATCTGTCCTATCTGTTATATCTCAGGTTCTCTTAGTCATACAACATCTGCCCCTCAGATTCATATAATCCAATGTTTCGTAATTTTTGATGTAGAAGGCATTTCCTGGTGGTGAATAAATGAACTTTGCAAAAATGCAGACTGTTTGTGATATTTTTACCACATTATGAAATGTTAAACTAGTCACTGTTTCATCACTCACATTTACCAGTCCAAACCTTGGGCATTATTTAAAGTCTAAGAGGACAGTATAAAATATTGTGTTACATTGGTTACCATTATAGAATTTTGTATTTTGATTGAACAGAGCTATTCTAAAAGTCTCGAGAAGCCTATGTTAGGACAGAAGAAAGCACAGTCATTTGAGGAAAGGCAGCAACAGTACGAGAAAGTACGACAGAAAATTTTCAACAGTTGTGATGAGGTTAGTTCCCAAGATAACAAAACATTGTTTAGATACACTTCTGAATAGTTTAAAATTGTGGTCCAAGAAGATGATTTACGTAGTCAAAGGGAAGTAACCCATCCCAGGTCTGGTCAAATAATGTTAAATATTCCTGTTAGTTATGGTAATAGTCAAGTTGTCGTGATGTTTTGTATCATTGTAAACTTGTAACTCACTCCTTGGCTGATGGTACTTGTTTGACAATTCAATAATGGGTATATTTTTGGGAAAATTTCACAGGATGGAGTCATCATTTTAAAGGCATTTATTATTATCAAGCTTTAATGATATTAATATCATTAAATTATCCCGGGAAAAATGTTTTCCAGTGATCTTTAATCAGGTTCTACATGATAATCATTCATGCTAATTTCCCTGCAAAAGATGGTCACAAAATAGATTGTCCTAGTGTTGAATTTTCACTTTTCATTAGTTATGAATCATGTTTACATTGTTTCGGCCCAAGGTTACGATTATCTTCTTTATTTATTGTAATCATTGAGTGGGAGGATGCCACCATTTGCACTCATTTTTTTCCTTGTGAATAGAGAAACAAAATTGATCAATCCCTTTCTGTTTTTCAGCCTATTCATTACACTGAAGAGGAAGCACCACGTATAATGTAAGTTTGCTGGTAATCATGTAAAAAATTGAACAACTTTATAATTACAGAGTACTTTTCAGTACAAGAACTACTGTCTTTATATCAAATTTCATCACCCATTTAGAATATATAGGTCTTTGTCAGAAAAAGAAAAATACAGGGTAAAGCTAATGGCTTCATAAAATCAAGTTGACTGTTGGAAAAAAAAGTATTTCTCAAGAACAGGGAACTCAACATTACAATGTTATAAATTTATACTCAGTATATGCCATCATAACTGAAAGCTATCAGAAGTTCTGTCAACACAAATATATTTACAATCTGTTTTGCAGCAAAAAACCAAATCGGCCTTCTAGTCTTAGTAAAAGCAACAACGACGGGCAGCCCTGGAGTAGCACCGACTCGAGTGGTTATGGAACAGATTCTTCGGTGTCACGTTCACGGGGTGTCCCTAAGGCAAACAGCTTTGGGGGCTTGGGCACTGTGTCTTACAATAACCAGGCCTTAAAATTTCCACATAAATCACTTAGTTTGTCTGTGGGTAAGTTTTCATGCGCCTCACAGTCCGTCTATGTTGGTAGGTTTCTTGTCTCTCATTGGGTATGTGTCTATAGTTGTTTTCTACATAATACAATTCATGAAAGTCTCTCTGCATCCTCCAGCATTAAAATCTATCCATGGTTAAATCTCTCACATGAAGTCTCTCTCACTGCTAGGCAAATAATATTTAACCAAATTTTTCAAGGCCATTACTTAAGCTACAAACTATGATGTACCATTTTAATCTTTTGTGTTAACATACCCATTTAAGATTTTTAACATTTGTCTTTTACCTTTTGGTTTGTTCAATGTTATTTCCTTTTGGATCACTGTGTGTTTTACCATTTGATGGCCCAAATGACCTTTTATGAGTTGATGTGCCGTTACAAATGTAATAATAATGATAATAGCTTAAGCTACAATATTCATAATAAATTCATCCTACACAGGCATTGTTATTGAAGGGAATGTTTCTGTATTAGAGCCATCAAGAAGCCCTATACACAGTGGTATGAGCAGTCCAATGGGTCAGCGGACACTGCCAACAGCTCCTACTCCCCCAGGCAGTCACTCGGACAGCTCGCCACTCTCTCGCTGCAGCTCCTCGGGGCCAGTACAGTCCCCGCTCACTACAGGTGAGTCAACCTTAGTTTGCTCAACTAGTAAAAACATTTTATCTGCATTAGTCAAGAAATAACAATTCTATTCCCATTTCTTTCTTATTTAACCATCTGGTCAAAAATATTTTGTCCTTGAGATGATTGGACAAATGGCTTACTGTTTGATCTGTTGTAAAAATATTAAATTTACTGAAAAAGTAATCTTGGAAAGCAAATATTTGCCTCTGAGCTGTTTTTGTTATTGAATGGAACATGTAGTTGAATAGGTAAAACTTTTAAGATATACCATTGTCCTGTAAATGAAGAGCGAAGCATGTCTGTATAACAAAAATAATTTGTTAAATGTTACAGGATACACACCAGGGCCTGGCCAGGTGTATTGGGTGGCTTCAGATATCCGTAACATACCACCAGGTAGTGTGGTGATAAATCCACAAACAGGGCAGCCCATCTCTAACCCTGACGGCAGTCTTTACCACCATATGCCAGGCCCTACTCCCACAGGCCAGGCAGTGTACACCTCACCCACATACTCCTCAGATGTCTGGACGCCTAGCTCTGTATGTACAAAGCACATTTTCAACATTTTGCTCTTACTTTAAGATAAAATAAGACAATGAGGATGATAATGCCTTTCTTATCAGGGCTTGATATTAACTTTTTTTCTCACTTGTCTGTTTGGACAAAGGATTTTAAAACCACTTGTCCTACTGTTAAATGCACTTGTCCAAACTTTTAAGCTAGAATGATTTCCATTTCCAATAAACAATGATCAGGATTTGTCAACCAAAGCACTGAAGTCACAGCAAATTAGACAAAACAATCTTCCACCTGATTCACTTTCAACATGAGCTGATTCCGGCAACTCTTTCAACCAGTTTTGTTGAAATGTCTTTACTCTCTTTTGCTCATACCATTTTATAGCTTTTTAGATCACTGGAGACAAAGTCTCATGGTAACCTATCACAGTCACCTTTATCTGACATTGTCTGTTAACAATTAAACATTTTCGACCCCATTTCGACATTTTGTGTGCCTGAGGGGCAGGGTCAAAAGGATCAAATTTACTAAAATTAAAAAAACATCTTCTCAACACCTAGATATGATAGAATCAAATGATCTTCGTTGATGGAAGCATGTTAAGGTGGTTTACCAAAATTGTGAATTTTACGGCACCAGGGAGTCATAGTTCTTTGTGAAGAGGAAGTTAGCTTTAATATAATTTCTATATAAAAGTTGAATTTTTAATCATAACTTTATTCTCCACTAGAAATAACTAAGATTTATCAGTATAGGATGACAGTGTTGATGGTATGCATGGACACTGGCTTACTATCATCAATGTCTCAGGTTTCTTTTTCATGACACTTGAAAGCTAGTTTCCCTTTTAACTTTTATATTCAATAATGCTTATCTCAAGTGACCATCAAGACTGCTAGACCTCTTGGTTTTTTGATCATATACAACATCAGTCTTTTGGTTTTTTTACTTTTACCTTCTTAACTAAAACCAAACTTAAATCCATCGTCTGACAGCTTCCAACATAAACAATCTAGCAGTTGACAGTATTCAGTGCCACTAAAACTGTCTGTGCAGCTGCACTTGAAAACAACAGTAGCTACGATGTAGATTATATTCGGAACTTTTCTACTTACCCCAGGGAAATCAACATGCAGTATCTCTTGCTCATTATTAGGTTAAGTGAAGGTTAGGTTATTTGATATTTTTAAAACTTTCACAACTTTTTCAGTTGGACAAGTGCATGTTATGACATATTTTTGTAGTGATACAGTCAGACAAATGTTAATATCGAGCCCTGTTTATATTCACTCTTCTTCATCATTACAGCAACTGTATTTTGACAGCTAAGCATGAATAGATAATGAAATTTAAACAGGTATTTTGAACTCTGACCTACTCTGAACAAGTTCACATACAAGAATCATTAACCATATGTCAAGGTCAATGTAATAGATTTTCATCATTACATTCATAAATACTTTGTTACCTCTGACATATTTTTAACAGTGCAGGTACTATTGCTCTTGTTTCAGGATCAAGGTTGCAGTTCCCAAATGTCATTCTTATAGGCAAATTTCTCCCCAGAATTTCCTGAAATATTTTAAAACCCTGTCTATTATTAATGATCCAGTATAAGTTTAGTTGTTACCGGTAATAAAAAAAATAAATGGGAAAGATGGTGGTTCCATCAAGCAAGCTGCTAGGGAAGGCTGCAGTATTATGGGCATTCCTACTCCAAAGATTTCTTTGTAAAGATATCTTTCTGACCAGAATCACAAGATATGTCTGTTTACATGTTTATGACAAGGCATATTAATGATGAACATCAAATGGCTTTACCAGTTCTTTGACAGAAAATACTAGTTCTTTGTAAAACTTTCAAATAAACTGACCAAAATAATTTGTTAATTCTAGCTAAAATTGCATGATGACTGTGTTTTGTGCAGGAGGCACCTGCAGCAGAGCTGTGTCGCCACCTCTCCATGGTGAGCATTAATCAGCCATCGCTGGATAGTGTAGAGGAGCCCCCGGGGCAGACAACAGGCACAAGTCTTCAGGCCACGCAGTATGTTTTGGGGGCCCAGCCCCAGGGACAGCAGCAGCCTGCACAGATGGTCCAGGTATGTGAGAAAACTCAGGAAAACTCTCCGTGTCTTTGCTCAAATATGTTGTGGTGTCTACCATTAATCAGCAGTTTCTTTGACAATGACTTCTTGAGAAATGAAAGGCATAGGATGCGTGATATTTTACAAGTAGATACCTAAAACGAGAGGTTGTAAAGTTTCCTCAAATAAATTGCAATTTATTATGTTCAAGGTAACAGTGGTAAATGATGATTAGCACATAAAGAAAAACTTAAATAACAAGTAATGTCTGACAATATGTGACCTTTCAATGACAATACTGTCAACTTTCTACACAGTATTTATATCCAACCATTCAAGTCATGATGTTATGTATATAATTATAAGTTATGAAATTATCACTGAATGACCTGATGTATTTATACTGCAACACAGACCAAGGAAAAGTCAAATTAATATGACCTGCATAATATTTCAGACTCAGTATTTCCCTGGGGGACAACAGAGCATGACAGGAACAGTGAGATATATGTACCCTGTGAACTATCAAGTTCAGGGTCAGACCCAACAAGGTCAAGGACACCAAACAGTTGTTGGTATGGACAACCAAAGTTTTCCTCAAACTGGCAACCAGTTCCCACCTCAGGTGACTGGCACATACCAGGGGTTTCCAGCTAACGGTGCTGCGGCAGCTGCTCCTAATGTAGAACAATTTTCATCTAACATTGCACAGAACACATATCCGGTGATACAGCAAGGGGAGGGTAGTGTACAAACTTTCTCATCGTACCCGTCTCAGTACAGCCAAAGTAACTATGTACAGCAGCCTCAAGGCACAATGTTCTACTCTAATACCACCAATCCCCAAATGGGGACAAGTACAGGGTTCCAGTTCCAGCAGCCGTACCCTGGTCAGGGGAACACCTCGGTGACAATGTCAAACCAAAGTGTTGCCTTACAGAATGTAGCCCAGCCCTTAGGGCCTGGGGTCCCAGGTCAGGCTACAGCTCCAACTCCCACGACACCCCAGTACTTATATTCCACTGTTCCACAGTACCAGGGCTCCACACGACCAGCAAATCCTCAGCTTCTACATTTCCATAATGTACAAGCTCCTGGACAGTCATCACAGTCTGTGCCCGTGCTTCGAAATATGCAACTCAACATGCAATTTCCTGTACAAGTTACAGCCTTGCAGCAACAACAACAGCAACAGCAGCATCAGCAGCAGCATCATCAGGGAGGTATACCCGGCCAGATGACTGTCAATGCTAAGGGGTATCCTGTGGACTCTTCACTGCCCAAAGTTGAGGGTATTGACATGAGTGGCCTCTCTAACCTTGGCCCTGGTCTCTTGGCTGGTCCTCCCAGACCAGCTGCACCAATCATACGACCTAATCCAGGTACATAAGTCCAGGCTCAGATAGAAAACCATCCTAGATAACCATTTAGTGGTAATGATTTCTCAGCAATGCCTGTTTCCTTAGTGATAGAAAACAAAGTGCCAAATTGTAGAATTAGAAAGCAGGTTAATGTTAAATGCACATTAGAATGTATATTAGTTGTCTGAATTGGAATGTCATGGTAAGTATGGATATGAAAAATCCTTGAACTATCATATAAGTGGCCCAGTTATCAATTTTTATTATCTCAATGATTTTCTTAGAGACGATTTCAATATTTCTGATTTGTATTGGAATGATGCTTGGTGTTTCAGATGTACGCTTTTTAGGACAGGCAGGATTTCACCCACCATTACAAGTTCCATTTCCATCACAGCCTTTGTCTCATCAACCACAGAAACTAAGGTATTAACATGACTTCATCATCAGATTTGAAATGTTCATCAAACGATGTAACAAAGACCAAGCTAAACAGGGATGGTGGTATAAAAACCCCACATTTATACAATAACAATCTAAAGTTTACGTGTTTAACACCTTGTGACGATTAACTGGTAGTGTAAAAGTTTTCTCCCTTAGTCTGTGATGACTACTTAGCCTGGCGGAAACAATCTAATCTGTACAGCATTATAATTATAATAAACACTGCTGGCAAACCAAGGCACCTGCATCAGATGTAAATGCCATCAATAAATCTCCAAATGAACAGTTCAAGAATTTTTTGTTAAACCTAAACAATGAACCAATAATAACATATGTTTTGTTCTGAAAACTAATGATGTAAAGCCAATGAGTTTCTGACAAATAAGGCTGTCCTCAAACTGCATGTGTGGAGTATTCTGCAGACAAGGTTGAGTCCAGATCTGTACTTCATGTTTATCTTGCAGGTTAAGCTGGTCCAATCATTTCAAACACTTATGCCAAAGCAACCTTAGTCACCAAAACAATTCAGGAAATCTTAAATTTTAATCTGTATCTTCTGCTTCAAATTTCTCACGGATCTTAATTTCTGATTTTTGATAAAAGGTCTGAAATAAGAATGTAATCAAGCAACATGTTCCTCCTGCATTCCAGCTTGTCCTACAGTTTTAGTGAAAACAACTTAGTTGTGTAGTATATACATTGTTCCTATGATTGAGTTAGAATCCATTCCTTGTTAACATGCACATATTACACCTGGAGACTGGTCACTAAGATAGTAAACCATACTTTCAAGTTATGGAGAAAATATTTACTATTTATCCAACATTTACTGAAAATTAAAGAAAATGCATGGACCCTTACTCTGTTCTTATTCTCAGTGTTTTTACCATAATCATGCTGAACAATTACAAATCTATAAATACAGACTGCAAACAGTCCTGGCTTGACTTCCTAAGTAAGACTTTGGTATGTTTCAGGGCAAGTGTAGGACAGTCAGGTTCTAAGCAACAGCGACTGAAAAAAAGCAAAAGTAAGGAGAGTCAAGATGGATCTCTACACAATCAAGACAGCACAGAACTACAGCAAAGTAAGTTTGTGTGTAGAGAGATGATAGTTATAGAATTACAGCAAAGTAAGTTTGTGTGTAGAGAGATGTGATAGTTATAGAATTACAGCAAAGTAAGTTTGGTGTAGAGAGATGTGATAGTTATAGAATTACAGCAAAGTAAGTTTGTGTGTAGAGAGATGTGATAGTTATAGAATTACAGCAAAGTAAGTTTGTGTGTAGAGAGATGTGATAGTTATAGAACTACAGTAAAGTAAGTTTGTGTGTAGAGAGATGTGATAGTTATAGAACTACAGCAAAGTAAGTTTGGTGTAGAGAGATGATAGTTATAGAACTACGATAAAGTTTGATGTCATTAAAACATTTATCCTTATGGGTCTGATATATAGCAGGGCACTTTCTGATATGTCATTGTTCTAGTTGTGACTTACCTTGAGTTTTTTTTTTTACAGGCAATGTTGTGGAGGTATATGATCTGCCTGGAGGTCTGAAGCGTTCAGAAGCTGACATCTATCTGAAGGATTTGGTGACATGTGGAGCACAGGTCCAGTTCATAAATATGGATGGTAGCCATGGAGACCATCCTAATCTGACTATTTCTAACTGTAAAAAAGTTTTAGCAATATTCCCCAGCTCTTCAGTGGCAATGAATGCCCTGCAAAATCACAGGAGTGGTAGCAACAGTAGTCGATTCAAGCTCCAGCTCACCAGCAGTACCACGCTATCAACAGGGGCAGACCACTCTAATATAGGTGTCAAAAGCTAATTTAAAAAGTGTTTAAGTCATTGCTATTGTATTTTTATATGAGAAGTTTTAAGATATTTTATTGTGAAGAGCAGAACTACTACAGACAGAACTATTTAAACCACAGAGGTGAAGTAATGTTACTATGAAAATATGAATCATCTCGCCCCTTTACTAGATCGTCAAACTTTCTGTGCCATGAAATCTGTTGATTTTGTCTATTTCGTTGGTAAACATCATGAACCTTTTGGTTGAAGCATCTGGTCACTGTAATTATGCTTTTTCTCTAAGGCTCCTTTTTATATTAATATATTATATGACTTATTTCAATCTGCTGTGTCACATTTATTTTTTTTTTTTTTTTTGTTTTTTTTGTTTTTTTTTTGTTTTTTTTTTTTTCGTTAATATTTTTTTAGGATTTTTTGCTACCTTTTTACATGTTGTATGTATGTGATGACAAGGGTGACGGGGTGACAGGGGGGCAGGGCTATCAGTATGCTGACTAATCAATCTAGCCTTACTGCTACAGGTCAGCAAAACAAGATGGTCTGAATTAATATCTCTTACCAACAAAGTCTGGGTTCTCATACTGAAGGTGAAATTTCCTTTTCACAATACCTTGAGCAGCTGAGTGCTAGGTAGTAATTAACTTCTCTAGCCATGCGTGTCGTTAGAATCGTATGTCTGAGGGAAGCACAATAAGAATTGACAGTGTATCCTTAACGTTTGCTCTGTTTTGAGGTATTTATTGTCTTTGTAGATAAATTTGCAAGTAAACACATTAGGTGGTGTGTTTTACTTCAGAGATTTAACTCTGTTCCTACCACCAGTCTAGCTGTCTGATGTGTATTGTCAACAAGACCAATACAGTTTAAAAGGAACAGGTGCAAAAACAACCTTGCTTTTTAAATGATCTTGACTTCAGAGTCCATTTCCAAAACCAGTTGGATACTCCATTCATCATTTATTTCCTTTCCTTTTTTTTGACAACAATGACACTTAAGTTACAAATGTAAGTATTTTGGTAGACTCTTGGATGGGAGGGGACCTATTAACAATTTTTTTGGAACTACTGAATTATGCTGTAATTCCATTATAAGCTCACCTGACCAGAAGTCCAGATAAGTGCATGCCATGATGTAATGTCTGGTATCCATGCAGCATTAACTTTTCCCTTAAAACAATTTTTTTTCTCAATAAAAAAGAGGCTAAGAGCCATTAAATTTGGCTAATAGTGTCAAGGGATGAAGCTTGACAAAGTTTGAGGAAAGAAATGACCTTGATCCAAACCTAAGTAAACAGGAGTCTACTTCAAAACTTCAAACAACGTTTGATTAACCAAAAGGGCCATATAGTCATGATATTTGACTCAGAAGGTACTAGGATTCAGTCTGACAGGATTTGTGAAAAGAAATTACTTTGACCTATTTTGAAGGTCACAGGGGTCAAATTTGTGAAAGTCTTGAAAGCAATGTAAGAGTCTAGAATCATGATATTTGACTGATATGTACCTTGGATGAAGCCAGACAAATTTTAAAAAAGAAATGACCTTAATCTATATTCAAGGTCACAGGGGTAAGATCGGTTGAAATATTTTGAATTAATTAGATATACAATTGAATCGACTTTAAATGTCAATGACCTGGAATGCTAATGTATTTGTGAAAAGCATTGAATACTAGGTGAGTGAAGCCTCCTTGGCTGCATTAATACGGTAATTGTAGTATCGAGGACTGAAATAACACCTATAATATAAAAAACCTAATTGTGATAATAGATAGTTCAATAACATTAATATAGTGGCAGTGGATCTACTGTTCATTGTCTGTTACTATAACTGGTATCTGTAGATAGATCTACTGTTCCCTGCCTGTTACTATAACTGGTATCTGTGAGTAGATCTACTGTTCCCTACCTGTTACTATAACTGGTATCTTTCTGTAGATCTACCGTTCCCTACCTGTTACTATAACTGGTATCAGTGAGTGGATCTACTGTTCCCTGCCTGTTACTATAACTGGTATCTGTAGATAGATCTACTGTTCCCTGCCTGTTACTATAACTGGTATCTGTGAGTAGATCTACTGTTCCCTACCTGTTACTATAACTGGTATCTTTCTGTAGATCTACCGTTCCCTACCTGTTACTATAACTGGTATCAGTGAGTGGATCTACTGTTCCCTGCCTGTTACTATAACTGGTATCTGTAGGTAGATCTACTGTTCCCTACCTGTAACTATAACTGGTATCTGCGTGTAGATCTACTGTTCCCTACCTGTAACTATAACTGGTATCTGTGAGTAGATCTACTGTTCCCTGCCCGTTACTATAACTGGTATCTTTCTGTAGATCTACTGTTCCCTGCCTGTTACTATAACTGGTATCTTTCTGTAGATCTACTGTTCCCTACCTGTTCTATAACTGGTATCTTTCTGTAGATCTACTGTTCCCTACCTGTTACTATAATTGGTATCTGAGAGTAGATCTACTGTTCCCTGCCTGTTACTATAACTGGTATCTGTAGGTAGATCTACTGTTCCCTGCCTGTTACTATAACTGGTATCTGTAGGTAGATCTACTGTTCCCTACCTGTTACTATAACTGGTATCTTTCTGTAGATCTACCGTTCCCTACCTGTTACTATAACTGGTATCAGTGAGTGGATCTACTGTTCCCTGCCTGTTACTATAACTGGTATCTGTAGGTAGATCTGTTCCCTACCTGTAACTATAACTGGTATCTGCGTGTAGATCTACTGTTCCCTACCTGTAACTATAACTGGTATCCCTACTGTTCCCTGCCCGTTACTATAACTGGTATCTTTCTGTAGATCTACTGTTCCCTGCCTGTTACTATAACTGGTATCTTTCTGTAGATCTACTGTTCCCTACCTGTTCTATAACTGGTATCTTTCTGTAGATCTACTGTTCCCTACCTGTTACTATAACTGGTATCTGAGAGTAGATCTACTGTTCCCTGCCTGTTACTATAACTGGTATCTGTAGGTAGATCTACTGTTCCCTGCCTGTTACTATAACTGGTATCTGTAGGTAGATCTACTGTTCCCTACCTGTTACTATAACTGGTATCTTTCTGTAGATCTACTGTTCCCTACCTGTTACTATAACTGGTATCTGTGAGTGGATCTACTGTTCCCTACCTGTTACTATAACTGGTATCAGTGAGTGGATCCACTGTTCCCTACCTGTTACTATAACTGGTATCTTTCTGTAGATCTACCGTTCCCTGCCTGTTACCATAACTGGTATCTTTCTGTAGATCTACTGTCCCTGCCTGTTACTATAACTGGTATCAGTGAGTGGATCTACTGTTCCCTGCCTATTACTATAACTGGTATCTGTAGGTATATCTACTGTTCCCTACCTGTTACTATAACTGGTATCTGTGAGTAGATCTACTGTTCCCTGCCTGTTACTATAACTGGTATCTGTGAGTAGATCTACTGTTCCCTGCCTGTTACTATGACTGGTATCTGTAGGTAGATCTACTGTTCCCTGCCTGTTACTATAACTGGTATCTGTAGGTAGATCTACTGTTCCCTGCCTGTTACTATAACTGGTATCTGTAGATAGATCTACTGTTCCCTGCCTGTTACTATGACTGGTATCTGTAGGTAGATCTGTTGTTCCCTACCTGTTACTATAACTGGTATCTGTAGGTAGATCTACTGTTCCCTACCTGTTACTATGACTGGTATCTGTAGGTAGATCTGTTGTTCCCTACCTGTTACTATAACTGGTATCTGTAGGTAGATCTACTGTTCCCTACCTGTTACTATGACTGGTATCTGTAGGTAGATCTACTGTTCCCTACCTGTTACTATAACTGGTATCTGTAGGTAGATCTGTTGTTCCCTACCTGTTACTATAACTGGTATCTGTAGGTAGATCTACCGTTCCCTGCCTGTTACCATAACTGGTATCTTTCTGTAGATCTACTGTCCCTGCCTGTTACTATAACTGGTATCAGTGAGTGGATCTACTGTTCCCTGCCTATTACTATAACTGGTATCTGTAGGTATATCTACTGTTCCCTACCTGTTACTATAACTGGTATCTGTAGGTAGATCTACTGTTCCCTGCCTGTTACTATAACTGGTATCTGTAGGTAGATCTACTGTTCCCTACCTGTTACTATGACTGGTATCTGTAGGTAGATCTACTGTTCCCTGCCTGTTACTATAACTGGTATCTGTAGGTAGATCTACTGTTCCCTGCCTGTTACTATAACTGGTATCTGTAGATAGATCTACTGTTCCCTGCCTGTTACTATGACTGGTATCTGTAGGTAGATCTGTTGTTCCCTACCTGTTACTATAACTGGTATCTGTAGGTAGATCTACTGTTCCCTACCTGTTACTATGACTGGTATCTGTAGGTAGATCTGTTGTTCCCTACCTGTTACTATAACTGGTATCTGTAGGTAGATCTACTGTTCCCTACCTGTTACTATGACTGGTATCTGTAGGTAGATCTACTGTTCCCTACCTGTTACTATAACTGGTATCTGTAGGTAGATCTGTTGTTCCCTACCTGTTACTATAACTGGTATCTGTAGGTAGATCTACTGTTCCCTGCCTGTTACTATAACTGGTATCTGTACTGTTCCCTACCTGTTACTATAACTGGTATCTTTCTGTAGATCTACTGTTCCCTGCCTGTTACTATAACTGGTATCTGTAGGTAGATCTACTGTTCCCTGCCTGTTACTATAACTGGTATCTTGGAAAGGATCTACTTTTGCTCCTCAGATACAGGTGTGTTAACTAGTCAAACAACAGATGGTAGATTCTGATGTTTTCTCTTCTTTTCTACTGTCAACTTGCTGTTTTTCTATTAATGAATCAAAGGTTGATGTCTTCAGTTCTATTCATGGATGTTGTGATTTTGAATGGCTTGTTAGACTGTGACGCCATAAAGACATGTTTATAGAATGTTACTTAGTACCATGTTCTTCAGTGTACTTATGTTGAAAGTTTATTTATACACATGTTATGATCCACATAGATGTTTTAAGAACAAAAAAAGAAACACAGTAGATTTATAAGGATTAACTGATATAAGTGTCTTACATTGAAATGTGTTCAGGTGTTCACCAGACCTTGTGTATGTGGGGGTACTCATGTAGCACACTAGTCATTCATGTTGGGGAAATTTCTGTCAAATTAGTGCTTAGGACTTTAGAATTAAACTTGAAACATTCACATAGATGTTGATAGTGTGATTGAATACACAAAGATCTATGAATACCTACTATTTATGTATGTTATGTGTTGGTCTGGTTTGATGTGATGTAACAGTAAATGATGT